CTGCTGATTCAGGTATTGACGGACGAAATTCCAACTCAATCCCCTTAATCTTCATTTCATTAAACAACAACAGGGCATCATTCAATCTACCAGCTTTAGCATAGTACGCATACAATGCACCAGCGCCAACGGCTTCCAAATCACGGAGACCTCTCGAACAAGCCTACCTTGACACCAAAACACGCAACTTAAAAGTCAAGGGCGTCCTCGTCACCAACCCTTCCAACCCGCTGGGAACCACGTTGACCCGACCGGAGCTCAACCTCCTCGACAGCTTCATCTCCGACAAGCAGATCCACCTCATCAGCGACGAGATCTACTCGGGGACCGCCTTCTCCTCCCCCGGTTACGTCAGCATCATGGAACTTGGAGACGACCCAAAGGTCAAGCAAGGTAGGAAAGACGGGAGCTGTAGCAAGCGGAGGAAGAAGCGCCGGTGCCACTGCGCGTGGTGGTGATCTTGGCCGCGAAAGAGTCGATCGCATCCGGGTAGAAGATGGGGCGGCGGAGAAGAAGCGGGGCGGAGGAGAAGGGTCGCAATGGTGCGAGATGAGATCTGATAGTGAATTTTAGGGGTCGTTTGGAAGTTGCGATTGTTAGTGTTGTATTTGTTAAATATATGCATTGTCTACAATGCAACGTTTGGAAGTGTCAAGTTGCAAAACAATGCATGTATTGTTTTGTGTGGGTCCCACCAACAATCAACAAAAATGAGGGATTGTACAATCTCAACTAAAAGTTGAGATTGTTGTGATTGTTGGTTTAATAATTGAGCACCTCTACCTTTTCCAATAATGTCCATAGTTCTTTTTGTTTTATATTAAAAGTGGAGGACAAATATGACATTTCCTTATAAAGTAACTTTATAACAATCAATTCATAAATTATAATCTCAACAACCAAACAATTTAATTTCAAAATGCATCTATTGTATCAATACATGCATTTATATCATAGTGATTCGTAACAATACAACGATTTAACATACGCAACTTCCAAACGACCCCTTAATTTATTATTTTCTATCTAATTTACCCTTTTACCCTTAATGAATTCTGTTGTTATAATAACAACACTAACAATGTTGTTATTCTATCCGAGCCCGAAGCTAGGATTGTGATGACTTTTTATTAGATGAGTTGACCTAGTGTAAAATCAAAGCAGGGGTATAATTGTCATTATGAAAAATATGTTTAAATAATAATAAAAAAATAATAAAAATATTTTCGGACCAAAAATTTGGTCGCCGGAATTCGGCCACCGGTCGCGCGGAATCTGGTCGCCGGTCACCGGAATATGCTTTTTGTCGCCGGAATATGCTATTTTGCCATCGGAATATGCCACCGTCGTCGGAATATGCTCACCGGCGTCGGAATCTAGTCATCGGGACCGGAATATGCCTATCGGCGCCGGAATCTACTCACCGACGGTCATCGGAGTTTGGTCAACGGTCTTCGTTGACCGGTCAATGGCCAACGACCACCGGATGTTGTGGTCTGCATTGTGAGATTTATGGTTTGGTTTCTCATATTTTTGTATGCCTTTTGTGGTTTGATTTATCGTGTTTGTGGTTTGCATTAAGAAGTTTCTGGTTTGCTTTATCGTGTTTGTGGTTTGCATTGAGAAGTTTCTGATTTGTTTTGCGGGGTTTCTGGTTTGTTTTAATAGATTTTTTGTCTGCATTAGGACGTTTCTGGTTTATTTTTGTGGTTTGCTTTATCGTGTATGTGGTTTGCATTATGAGGTTTCTGGTGTGTTTTCTAAAATTCTGTGGTTTGCTTTGCGGGATTTCTGGTTTGTTTTAGTAGATTTTTGGTCTGCATTAGGACGTTTCTGGTTTGCTTTTTTGGTTTGCTTTAACGTGTTTGTGGTTTGCGTTATGAGGTTTCTGGTGTGTTTTTGAAAATTATGTGGTTTGCTTTGTGAGGTATCTAGTTTGTTTTAATAGATTTTTGGTCTGCATTAGGACGTTTCTGGTTTGTTTTTGTGGTTTGCTTTATCGTGTTTGTGGTTTGCATTATGAGGTTTCTAGTATCCATTAAAAATATTTGTGGTATGCTTTGTGGGATTTCTGGTATGTTTTAGGAGACTTGTGTTTTGCATTAGTAGGTTCATGGTATGCTTTTTGTGGTTTGTTTTACCGTATTTATGGTTGCATTATGAAGTTTCTGGTATTGAAATGCTCATGTTCTGCATACAAATAACTCCTAAAAGCATACCATAATAAATTTGAAGCACTCGACCCAACCCCTCTATTACAGTTTTGCTATCTAATTCCTTCCTTCCCACCCCCACATTAAAAAAAAAAAAAAGTTAAAACAGAACCTAATCAAATTCAGGAGGATTCTAAGATGAGATTAGCCATCTCAGCAATGAACAGCTTGTTGTGATTGTGATCTCCTTCGTAGGTCACCACCCGCATCGACAGGTCATCCACCACTCTCTCCACGTGCTTCCGGGCCGGGCATCCCCGCAAGCTGCTGCACTTGTAATAACCCCTGTAGTTTTTGCCACAATTGATTCAACAAACCTCGCCCAATCCCGGTCAACGATGGAGCAGATGAGGAAATCGAACTTACCGTGGATGCGGCGAGCCTTTGATTGGCTTCTGCCCGTACTTCCGCCACGAGTAGTCGTCGGGAGGAATGTCCGCCATCTTCAGGCTTATCGCCGGAACCCAACCTCCTCGCCAGCTTCATCTCCGACAAGCAGATCCACCTCATCAGCGACGAGATCTACTCGGGGACCGCCTTCTCCTCCCCCGGTTACGTCAGCATCATGGAACTTGGAGACGATCCGGGTCGAGCAAGGTAGGAAAGACGGGAGCTGTAGCAAGCGGAGGAAGAAGCGGCGGTGCCGCTGCGCGTGCCCGGGACCTGCGGGTGGTTGTGATCTTGGCCGCGGAGGAGTCGATCGCATCCGGGTAGAAGATGGGGCGGCGGAGGAAGAAGCGGGGCGGAGGAGAAGGGTCGCAATGGTGAGAGATGAGATCTGAGAGTGAATTTTAATTTATTTTATTTTATTATTTTCTATCTAATTTACCCTTATGCCAATGAATCCTGTTGTTAGTATAACTAGCAGAGGGGCCGACCCGTTTACGCCTCTGTTCACTCTCCGATGAAACCAGCAAGTGGAGACAAATTCCTTGCATGGATGCCCTCCCCTGCTCCCCTATCTAAATGCCAACTTTTATTCCGATTGTGGGAATGTGATTTCTGTAAACCCACCTCGCAACTTCTCCCAGTCAACTTCTTTTTCTCCCGATTTGTTAAACCCTTGGCTTTGGATAGCTTTTCTGTGTTTCAATCAGAGATTCCCAGCAAACACTTGCCAGCTCCACAGGTACGTTAGTTTCCATACCTTTAGATACAATGTGGTTCCATTTATTAAAATAAGCGGCATTATATATTCTTATTTATTTAATCTTGACGTAGGATTGAGCAGTACTTCAGGACGCATTTATCAAAGTTGTTTTCTTAGATTTTGATTACGTATTGCCTATGGAATACAACTAAGACACTGGTTGATGAGAAAAGGACCTGCCAAGAAAATTTCGAGTGAGCAGGGCATTAGGTCAAACGAAGCAGCATCCTGTTCCATAACAAAAACTCTGACGAATTGACAGAGTCCTCCTTTCTTTCGTATTGTTTACTTCTCTTCTTTTGTACATGTTTAGTTTATTAGTGTCAGTCCAAATTGCAACATCTCAATTATAAGCGTACTAAATAGCATGTAGGTATTGTCAATATGATCGGCCCAAAAACAATCACTAATTCAATCCAGCTAGCCGGCCAACGGGCCAGCCCAAAACGGAGCACTTCATTAAGCGGCCAGGAGAATGAAATGACAATAATGCCCCACCGTGAAGCTCTCAGAAGCCTCCAATTTTGAATCCTGCAAAAGTAACCCATGAATCTGCTTCATAAATTACATTTCTTTCCCATAATGGTTTACCTGAAACAGAGATGCAACTATGAGAAAGAAATTACCAAATAAAGCAATTTAGCGTAAATCTAAGTATTCGAAATACAACCATTAAATTGATTATTGCAGATAAACGCATATAAATTTGTGCCCCCTATCGCACTTGCTGATATCATGTTCTTTTATTAGCTTGAGTTCATTTATACATAACAGTATATAAAGGTAAGGTTAATCATTTAAAATCTTCAACTAAAGAAAAACCTTTAACTTTACCAAATACATATACCCCGATTAACTCGACAGATAAATACTTTAGAATATAGAAGTCACTTGTTTGAGACTATAAACGATCCTTTTACAAACTACAATAAACAAAAAGTGAAAGATAAATACTTTTACTCTATAAAATAATAAACTATTAACTCTCCTCTTTCTCTACTTCCTACGCAAACTACAAAGCCATCACAATTAGAGGTGTTCAAATGGTTACCGTGGTAATAACCAAACCAATTAAGCCTAAATTTTATTAACCATGGAATAAAATGTCTTAACAAAATCGTCCAAATTAACACGAAAACCAAATTAACCAAACCAAAGTTTAATTGGTTTGGTTAATCGGATAATCGGATTAACCAAATAACATAACATTACATGAAAACAAACATAAACTATCATTTTAACTTGAATCCCTCAGCTTAGGGAAGGATTGGTCAGTCAGAGCTCGCGCTCATGCAGGGGAGGTCTGGAAGTGGTCTCTCTGGCCTCTGCACTATGCTATTGCATTGCTCTTCTATCTATCTTATCGCCGTTCATCGCTATGGCCTGTAGCAACCTACGGAGGTTTTAAAATGACAGGAGAGCTTTGGTTTGGAGCGAGGCAGATGAGCCCGAAAATAGAGAGACGACCGTACCGGCGAAGAAAGCTTGGTGGCCGGAGCAAAGTAAGGCGAAAAATGGAGGAGGGAAGGGGCGAAAGGAGCTCGTTCGTCAGGTGCAGCTCGAAGGGTCAAGGATTGATAATTGCAGTTCTTCAATTGCGGGCAGTTTGGAGCGTTTCACGGAGTGATAATTGAATTTCAGGGGCAGGGGATGGCGACGCTGTAGACCGAAGACGACACGGGAAAAGGGTTCTCGTCGGCAGCTCGTGACTTGTTGTGGTCGTTTGCTGCTGTGCACGTGTGCGGTGAGTGTATTGCTGCTTTAGGCGGGGGAGTTTGGGCCCGGCGCAGGTCTTGAGGCGCTGGCCCTCCAAGACTGGCCCATTCGGCCATGATAAGGTCTAGCAGAAGCACCTCAGTAAAACGCACAGCTTCAATTAAAGGGGGGTAAATTGACAATCCTGCCCCGCCGTGAAGCTCTCAGAAGCCTCCAATTTTGAATCCCTGCAAAAGTAGCCCATGAATCTGCTTCATATATTTTATAGACAACACTTAAGGTGTTGTTATACTATCCGGACCCTTTGGAATTCCCGCCACTCAACAAAAAGTAACAAGGTTCGTGTATTCGGGCAGCCGAATTTCGGAGAAGCGGGACTCCAGACCGAGATGGCTTCTTGCAGCCATATGTGTGCTTCCTCCATGGCCGGCTGCACCTAATCGTTCGTAACTTCTACATCGACCCGCTTCGCGAAGCTGACCCTCTGATTCAAGTAAATAAGTTTCTCTTACTTTAGTCTATTTTGTTGTTTGAATATACGTAATTAATTGCATATAGATAGATTTTGTTAGTCTATGTTGTTGAACATAGTCGCATTTACATGATTAATATCATATACATGGATTTTTCTTTACTTTTATTTAGGAATAGGTTGGTTTATGTATATCATAAGAAAACCCCAAGTACCACCAGCAACACCTATGCATGTAATGAACAGAGCTACCCCTACCTGTACAAAAACAAGTTCTTTCTATATATCAGTCCATTATGCTATAAAGAAAATGGGGGAAGACTAATATTTTGAACCTCTTGAGGTACTTAAAGAAAACCAAAAAAGTTACAGCCTCCATAACCATCACTTCATTCATGCTGCATCAGGGAACAAAATGCAAACTTCCTTCTTCACTTCCGTCAGCAACCTTTCCACATTGCAAACAGCATAAACAATCTTACACCCCTGCCCCCATAGCATACTAATCAATGTAATCCAGGTGAGTTTTGCAGCTGCATTTTTAGGAGAAGACCCTTTAAACACATCAGCAGCCCAATTAACTTCATTTTCCTCCCAGCTGACCCAGCCTCTATGCCCTGTAAATTGAAAGAGGGAACTCTGCCATTCATTTTCAGCTAGATTTTGTACTTGGGTAAATTGTAGAAATATAGAATCCTCTTACTCATTTATCCATTGCTGCAGGCATTCAGACTAGACGGCGATTCGGATGGCTATGAGTGGACGCGGGTAAAACGCCTTCAGGGATGTGCAGCTTTTGTGGGGACCCCATCAGGCCATCGTCCTCCCTGCTGACACGACAAAGGGGGTGAAAGAAGACCGGGTGTATTTTGCACCTGATTATATTCTCATTCGTGGATATGAGTTACCCAGACTTCGATCAGCTGGTGTCTACAACCTGAGAACCAATCACCTGGAATATTTCACAAACAATCTGAATGGAGATCACCCAGCATTCTGGTTTCAGGCCCGGTAAGATACGTACTTTTTGTGTATTTGATTTTTTCTCCCTGTTTCGTAGCATAGCATTGAACATAGAAACAGGCAGGTCACTGTTCTCTCCCATTGAACTGCAGCATTAGAACGTTTGTCCCATGGATGGATGGAAGGGAGAGATCAGAAGAAGTGTGGCCTTTCAGATGCTGACCTTGAGAGAAATATGATTGTAATTGCACTTGAACAGAAAACAATATACCTTCTTTAACCGAGACGTCTCATGATAAACCAGGTTATGTGTTTCCTTCTAGGGATTGTCAAGCAGCAGAAGTATGTGGCTGGAATGGGGACTTCTAGTTGGCTAGTTGGTCTCTTTGATTTATTGCTGCAAGATCATTGAAGCATATTTAGCAGACTGGAAAAGTGGGAAAATGACAATTGATCGAAATTCTGAAACCAACCAGAAAACAGCTGGACAAAGTCTAAGCAGGACCAATGTCGCTGGTGCCTACAGCAGCAGTTCATGCACCCATCAATTAGTCTAGGGTTCGTTTGGATGTGGAAATGTAATGCAGTAATTGGACCCAATTACCACATAATGCAGTAATTGGGTTAAAAACCCACGTTTGGGAGAGCAAAAAGGGTATGGGAATTGGACCATGGAAATTGGCTTCAATTACCACATTCATGGTAATTGAGAATACTACACCTCCCCCTAGTAATTTGACATTACCACGTTTTCTCACTTCTTTTTCCAAATTCCACACCATCAATTCCCACAAAACTAAACCCTATCCAAACGTGAATTTTTTTCAATTTCCACAAGTCAATTCCTTGGTTTTGTAAAACATGGAAATTCAGACAAATTCCAACGTTTTCAAATTTCCACATCCAAACGACCCCTTAATCTGCTAAACAGAATTATAGAGCTGATTTTCATGATAGAATAACGATATCTTTTCTGTATTATATACAATAATAAGTATATTCCACAAAGTAGACAAATTCATCAGTTGCAAGAGATTCAGTATCTTCAGGCCTTTTCAGGGTATCTTGAACAGTTCCTTGCATCTAAGAAGAAAAATCACTCAAGTCTGCACTAGCTATGATGTTTGTACAAAATCATAGAGAGTTGTCATTCTAAGTTGACTTCCCAGAAAAATAGAAACAAAATACACAACTAATACACAGAGGATATTTATTGAAATAGTTCTGAAAGCCTAAACAATAATACACATACACATAAATTTACACCTACCTGATAATATTAGGTAGTCGCCAATACAGAAACGTCCGATATGCCCACACTACATTCTTTGTGCATGGTTTCTCAACATGGTGTTTAGTAACAGTGGCAACTTGATCAATATATGGCTTACTCAAGTTCTTAGCTTCATGTGAAAATATAGTAACCCATTTTAGAGACCAATTACGAACAGGCATACAACAAAACATGAATATAGTTTACCCAAAAAAAAAAAAAACACGAGTATAGTTGAAATATACCTGAAAGTAGGAATCCATCATTCTTTTGTACCAGAACTATGTGAGCTATTATTGCAGTCTTTGAGGTCTCATAAGCTTCCACAGCAGTTGCACTCAGTGACCGTATATGTGTTACCACCACCAACTTATCCTTCACAGTTGGGATCCGTTTCTGCATCCGACGGACAAAGAAAACCATAATAGACAATGAATAACGGGCATAATGGGAATCAGAAGATGTTATGGTACCAAAAAACTGAGACACAGGCATAATGAGAAATAAAAGAGGTTATGGTACCAAGAAATTGAGACCACAAAACAACTATTAACACAACATATCTACAAAACAATAGCTCTAAATATACACCCCATATGCAAAACGACATTCAAGTCCACCGAAAGGAAATGCTGAAGCAAAGGGCTAACCATTATGTCACTAGGTCAAGGTTATTACCGTTCCAACTGTCCCTAGGAATGGTTCAGCCCACTTTGCAGCCTTAACCTTGTTCTCCTGTGGCTGGATAAGAAATCAAGATGCCATGTTTATGCCAAAAAATGTAAATGCAAGGTTAAGTTATGCATGAAGAGAAAACCAAAACCACTATGGCATCGTCAAAATTTCAAAACGAAAGAAATCAACTGTTTACCTTTTGGAATACCAACAAAAGCATAAAACAGCATGAAGAACGGAATATAGTAGGCAAAAAAGAAATAATAATAACAATGATGACAAGCTCGGACTAGGGTGAAATCGCCTGAGAGGAAAATCTCGAATTACCTGCATAATTCTGCTGATGGTTCCCACAAAAGATAAAGCATCATGCGACTCGGAAGCAACAACGGTAGGGCACATCTCATAGAGAAAAAAAAAATGGGTTCGATCTAAGAAACATGATTTGATAAACGTCGGAGCAATTCCTTTCCTTCATATCAACTGGTAGCTAGATGCAGTAATTGCAATCAGACAAAAAAATAATAATAAACACCACTAATCAATCCTAGAATAGTAGTATCTCAAGTTGCCACCAACTTATAAGAGGGAGTAGGGAGGATGGAGCGAGGGAAAAGAGGGAGAGCTAAAATCAGACCCCAAAGAGAAGAGAATGCCACGGGCAGTAAACCTAGTGACCCACATGAGGCGAGAGCGCCATCTGGGTATAGGGCTGTGCTTGTCTTTCCATCCCCAAATCGCCAATTTCGTAGCTGAAGCTCACGCCCAAACAGATTCCAAAGAAGCAATCTGATTACTACGATCGGAAGGAGCAGCAAAATCTACAAAACCTCGTACAGTCCGTCGATACGGGGAGTTCGTTGCGGAAGGGATCGATGGCGCACGGCGGAGGACGGAGAAGGAAGCGTCGGAGGTGACGAATTCGAAAGGGTTGCGGAGAGTAGTGGAGTTAGAGTGAGGAGGAATGTGGTGATTATTATTTGAGTCGGCCCGATCGCAGTTCTGGTGGTTAGCGGTGGGTTAGCGGGAGGAGGAGTTGCCGTCGCCGTCAACGGTGGCGATGAGATTCCGCGGCGGTAGATGCTAGAAGATGGGAAGAAAGATCGTGGCGGGCCATCGAGAAGCCGATGAAAACGGAATGAGAAAGAATTGGGGTTGATTGCTGACTTAAGCCATCGATGTTCGCCTCTGTCCAAGTCGGAGACATCGGGATGAGACCGTGCTAACTTAATCTCGAGCCATTAGATGCAAAGTTAATCATACGGTTAAAATTTAATAAAGGTTAATTTGTTCAAAATGAACCCGACTCACCAAAAACCCTAATATCGGTGTTATTAAAGTTGAGCCGAGCCGCTCGGCCCGATCGATAAAACCACCATCCGGTCACAAAACTGGCTCGTAACAGTTTAAAAGCCGCTCCGGTTTTATGTAGCGGTTGACGAGCGGCCGAGGCGGTTAGCCGCTCAAGCCGATCGAGCCGCTCGTCCGGTTTTTGCCATTCGGCCGTTAAATCTGATTAAAAAAATTGCAGAAAATCAAAAATTGAAATAAACCAAAAACGTTGGGCTCTCAAGCTGAATCCTTATTTCCATTTCACAATTTCGAAGGAAGAAACGAGCTCTGATTAAGAAATATCCACTATTTATACTGATAACGTTTATTAGGTACCGATTCTCTAACGGTTTTTAAACGGTCTAATGACGGTTGGACCACTAAAGTGAGAGTCGTTCGCATTACCGGGTCATGCTCCGGTTCGGTTCTGACAACATTGCCTAATATATATACAATGGTCAGCCGCTGCTCATCTGAAACCGCCCACCTGCCCTCTCACCTTCACAAACTCTCTCCACCCGTCCACCGTGCTCTCTCTTTCTTCTCCGACCAGCAGCGTGGTACCGGAGGAGTTAGGCGACATGTTTTTTTGTCTTTCTACCCTCCCTCTTCTCACGGGCCCCTAAAGTGACAAAGAGGGTCGATGGCGATGGAGGAGGCAAGCAGCGTGGCGACTTGTGAGATGTGTGTCGCTGTCAAATTCACTGACTAAAGGTCTTCAGACCCTCTCAATCTGAGTCTCTAGCGGGCGACTAACCTCCACCGGAGTAAACAGATCGAGGCCCTAACGAACCAAACCTCCACTACCGAATGGAATTCGGTACAGAATAGTGAATTGGCTCCTCGACTAAAGTCACCAATTCACCACCTTCAATCAAGGGTACTCTATTAACCTAGGCAGATATTCTCATTCTAAGTTAAAGCAGAAACAACAGGAATTTGATCAAGATTCATGCCATTCAATCATTCAAACCTCAATCGAATATAATCAAATCATAGAAACAGTACTTGGGTTCATACAATCAATCCCAACATACAGAACTAGGGTTTCCCACACCCAGATGAATGGGAGAACTACTCCATGGAGAAAGAAGCAAAAGCAGAATCAGACGCGGAAATCATATTGTGAAGATGGATTTCTGCTCCTGGACGTTTGAATCGGCACTTCTCCAAGCTCAAGCCAAGCTCCAATGGTGTGAAGATCAAGCTAGGGCACTTGGAGGCTCTTGTTCGTCGCTTTCTCTCTCTAGGAATCGCTCTGTCTCTCTAAAACTCGAATCCCCTCTCAATTTGGCTGAAATCTGCCTAAAAGGGCATCAACACGGTCGAGGGCACGGCCGTGTTCTGGCCCAGCCCGCCCGTGTTTTGGAATTGGCATAAAAACACGGCCACGTGCCTTGGAAAACACGGGCGTGTTCTGTGCAAAACACGGGCGTGTTCTGTGCAAAACACGGCCGTGTTCTGTCTCAGGCCTGCCCGTGTTTTTTAGCTGGTTCAAGCCACACATGGGGAGTCTCGGCGGTAAAAACACGGCCAGGAACACGGCCGTGTTCTGAGGGCCTCCTGCCTGTGTTTTGGCCCTGGCTCGACCAAACGACTACCAAACGATCCGAAACTCATGCTCGGCCTTCCTTTTGACGCCTGGGACCTGAAATAGGACAAAGTAGCACAACCCGGCGTAAAATAGGCCAAAACACACAACCATACTCCGCAAACGGATAAGAAACAGGGGTATAAAATCATGCAATTACATCGTTATCAAACTCCCCCACACTTAACCGTTTGCTTGTCCCTAAGCAAACCAAGTCAGACACCAGGTAAGCTCGAGACATTTCAATCAAGCAGGCTTTAGGGCATATCATATCGGCACAAAACACGTGGATCATACTGGCTTTCAATCATCAACACATGGCAACTCGAACGACAACCTAGACAACCAACTTAGATGACATTCGAATGCAATAAAGTCGAGCAAAGGGAGAGTTCTTTCCTGTTCACCAACCAACATAGACTTGACTCAATCACTTGTTCAAAACAATCACTTCATGCACAAAGCTCAAGATATCATAACTAAGACCGAGCAATCTAGGTCCTCACCGGGGTAAAGACCATAGAGAAAATGAGAAAATGAATCGCTCACTCTCGACCAGTGGGGTCAGGACAAATTGATGCGAAAAATGTGCATGCTTATTCTCTCAATCCCTAACGTCTCTTCACCATGAATGCAGCCTCTAAATGCTAGAATTCACATAAGGGGGTGTCATCACTAACTAATCCGGAGGTCTTAGACACAGGTTCAAATGACTGGCTAGGGTCTTGGACATGGGGAAAAGGCCTTTTAGGTGTTGGCAGTTATAGCACAAGGTTCCACATTTCCAAACCCAACAAAACCACAATCAAGCAAACCAGTAACTTTCGTCCTGCTATTCTGCATTAATCAAATTCTTTAGGGCACAAGAGCGAAGGAGGTTATATAAATGCTAGCATTTCCAAGCCAGACTGCTAGGAAACACTACTTAATGGGCACTATTCAGAATTTTGGTGGTGGCTCTCTTTTGCTTTCATTTTTTTCTTTGTTTTTCTTTATTTTTTTCTTTATTCATTCCTTAAGAGAACCACCACCTCTGCATATTTTTCAAACACACGCCCACTTTTAAGCACTACCTCCAACCCTCACATTACTTTTAGCAGAAATAGCAGAGAACATGTAAAAATCACTCTGTGGAACCTTCTAAAAGATGCAAAAGGGTGACTTTTCATTGAAGACCGAAAGAAAGGAAAACACACGGCTCAAAGGGGTTGACTAGGGGATATGACACATCAGGACAGTCAGTTTGGTCGTGGGCTAATCCTATGCCTCCATCATCTTAGCTAGTGACAACGTGAATGCTACATTTCATGGAAGAGGGATCTATCGCACAAGAAAGAAACGAGCAGGCTCAAATCTCACATGGCTACCTATATGCTCTATCTCACATTCTGATTCCCTGAACTAGATGCATAAATGACTGTCAAAAGCAAGTGATCAAATGCAAGTCGCAGTTGGTAAGCAAACAGTCGAAAACTGAACCCCTACACAACTCTACTACACATCTCAGTCATCGTAATAGGCTATCTTAGTCACACTCAAGTTGTCATGCATCGAGTCAAAAGCCATTCAATTCTCTAATCACATCCACAATGCCAATACGATCAAATATCAAGCAAACAGCAGTGCTTGGAGCCCTCAAATCTCAAGATTTGGACAGTGGACTAGGCTCCAAGCACCCATACACCCGTTCCAATTAATACAAAGAACCCCCCCACACTTAAATGCGACAATGTCCTCAATGGAGCAGAGGGAAGGGGAACGATGTTACCGTGAAATCAGGAACGGAGATCGAGAGGCAGACCAGACAATAGCAGAGGACTGGAAGGGGACCCAGTCCGAGGCACAGAGCTAAAGTCAACACAAGACACACACTGGGTGATAGAACCAAAGTTCCAAGTTTACAATCTAAAATTAAAAACAAATCCAAATGAAACAACAAAAACATGGAGTCTCAGTCTGGAACAGGAATCACGGTCATAACCAAGTGCTCTCTCCACTAGAAGTCATCGCCACCATCGCCGGCAGGTGGTGGGTACTGGTCCTCATACCCCAGGGACTGGACGAACGGATAGTGAACTGCGTTCGGGTCCATGCCCAGGAATGACATGATGTAGTGCTGGTCGGACATCAGACGACGGCCGCAGTCCCGCTCACGATCAAGGCGGGTGTGAATGCGCTCCTGGCCGGCCAGAATGCGCTCGTTCTGCTGAGCGATGGCCGCCAACTGATCAGTGATGGGCACCACCACGGGGGGAGGAGACCTGGGAGCAGGAGATCTGGGTGCAGCGGAGGAGATCGCGGGAGCCTGGGCACGAGGGGTAGCACGGCGAGGAACCCGGCGTGATCCAGCGGCGCTGGACTCTGGCTGGTCTCCCGGGGCTGGCTCAGGTGGCTGGGGAAGGCCCGCAATCCAGCGAAGACGCCCTTGGCGGGCCACCAGGTGCTGGGCGCAAAGGCTTTTCTCGCTGAGTGGAGTGGGCCCGTGGACCTGGGTCATCCTAGTGATATCGACCTCGTAGTAGCGGGCCAGGGCCGTGATGACCGGGCCACAGACAAGGTTGCGATCCCGGTGAGAGGCAGTTTTCCCGATTGTCCGGGCGATCACTGAGCCCAGCTGGATGGTGTCGTCAGGGCGACCCATCGCCTCCAGGAAGAACAGGGTCCGGAGGGTGACCCGGTTGGCCGAGCCCCGACTGGGGTTGTAGGAACTGGTGAGCAGGTGGTTGAGGATGCGCCACTCAGGCCTGAGGAGGGAGGTCGGTGTCTGGCTGGCGACGTACTCCTCGTCCACGTTGTCGGGTAGGCAGATCCGCCGGAAGTACGCCTGACATGGAAAATCGGTGGGATCAGTGAGGTCCAGGTGCAGGACCCCGCTGCTGGCATGCGGGGAGTTGACCCCAAGTGCACTGGCGAGCTCCCAATAACTGATGGAGTGCTCGACCCCGCCAAGTGTGAACTGAACTGCGTTGCTATGGTCGCGATTCCCCCTCTGGTTGTGGTTGAAGGAGGCATAGAACTCCCAGACGAGCTCCTGGTAGGTCGGCTCGGCGAGGCAGAGCAGGCGCCGCGAACCATAGGCCTGCACCGCGGCCTGCAGTGAAGCGCATCGAACACCTCAAAATCGAGGTACAGGTGCTCGGGAATGGTGCGATTTCGGATAGTCCGCAGCGCATGGCGCTGGGTGATGCTCAAGTGGTCGAGGTAGCGTTCCATGACCCTGCAAAGCACAAGAACGGACAAAATGGGACACGAGCAAACAGGGTCAATGTTAGTCAAGATCACACCGGG